ATGAAGTGCGGGGCGCCGGAGAAGAGGGCTTTCAGCTCGTCTGCGAGGAGGAATTGCTCGTGGTGGTGGTGGTGGTGGTGGTGAGGTGCAGGGCGGGTTTTCCTGAATTCCCAAATTTTTCTGCGGAGTCCTGGATGCGGCCAAACTTCTGTGTGGAGGAAGTCTTGGCGGCGCTGTTCCTCTGCCTGTTGCGCCACGCCAGAGATTCGACCAGACAGTTGAATGGGGGCTGTCAGGGTCAGGCCAGATGGCGACGAGTGTAAGACCGTCCTGCAATGCAAGATCGATTGAGTAGCTGGCTGGTGATCGAAATCCCTCCAGAATGTCTTATTGATGATGCTCGTCGTGGTCTCAATTCCGCGCATGTATACGTATTACAGAAGATGCTCGTTTTGTATATGGCGCTGTATTGTCAGTTTCGTAATTACATGACGCCGTCGGAAGAGAGAACAGCCAAAGGGGGAATTGACGGAGAATTGACAGCGGAAGCACTTGATAAGAACAAGCAGAAATACGAGATGCACATCTTATGGTGAGCAGCAAGCAAGAGAAGAGAGGAGGATGCAAAAAAAAGGAGCAAAAAAAGGATGCGACTTGCCTGGATCGAACAGGCGACCTTTAGATAGCAGGCTGAAGTTGACTTCAGTCTAACGCTCTCCCAACTGAGCTAAAGTCGCTTTGCACAAGCAGTTTGCGGACTATCTGCTCTGTGTGGTAGACTGGATGGACATCGCTTTCACCGCATGAATCCCGAATTCAAGAGACCTTGAACTGGCGCCTGAAAAGAATAATCGCATGGAACGGCACAGCGAGATGAGAGAAATAAAAAAAGAAAATGATAACGAAAAAAGAAAAGAGGACAGGTCGTGCTGGGACTCGAACCCAGGTTATTGGAACATCTGAAGCGAATCAAAATCCAAAGTGATAACCACTACACTACACAACCTTGTGACAGCTGATTAGCATAATTGGGATCATATATAACTACACTTCGCAGGTCAAATTGCGGAGTACAATACAACAACCTCGCGAATTAAGAGAATCTCTCTGGTGAGAGAGAAAGACTTGAATGGACGGAGAGAAGTGAGATGGTGATGTTTTTGCGGTGCGTTAGAGTGCTGCCAGTGTCTCGCTCCTGACTCCTGAGCAAGTAAATTGGAACGTGCAATGGATATTCTCGAAGAACGTGGGACATCTCAATTCATCATACAAGACTCTTCTCTTCTCATGCCCGAGGGTAGAACTTCTGATACACCTGATCAATCTCCTTCAAAAGGGCATCCTTAGTTGTCTGGTCAGTCCAGGACATGTTAACTGCATGCCGGCATGTCTGAGCGATGTCAGCATCGGTGAAATGACATATCTTCTTCGCAAGGAACATGCCATGAAGAATGAAGCAGTTGTCCATATAGCCTGGGTCATCGCTGGCAGTGGTCACTGGAATACCAGCATCATACAGCGTCCTATATCTCTCGCCTGTGAAGGCTGGAGGCTGATGCCTTAGATACGCCCATGGGCACACTGTCATTCCAGTCCCCTTCTCCTTGATCAACTCCATCAATTCTGGCTTCTCCGCTGCATTCAGTCCATGGTCGATTCGCTCAGAGCCAGTAGTCGCTAATAAGGAGGCAACCTCTCTGATGTGCTCGTGGGTATCTTTCTGATTCACATCGCAGTGAGCAGTAAGTTTGAATCCATCGTTGCGCGCCATTTGGAAAATCTCCTCGAAGATTGACGCAGGACGGTCATATTCGTTGGAGTCGAGGCCAATGCCGGCAACCATATACTTGTATTCGCGAACGGCCTTGTAGTGCTCCATGGCTGATTCAAAAGACCAGTCTCGGAGGATACACATGACCCATTGTGATTTCAGCTGCGCAAAATTGAAGTCAGCCAAACCTGTTCTGTTCACCTTTCATAACGAGAAGCGCCACTTACACCAAGCTCATTCTCGGCTCTGATCTGAGCTTCCCTGAACCCAGTCATGAATGTCTCCCACTTGACACCCCGACTTGTGTGTCCCTGGGGATCGAAGAACGGCTCACAGTACCGCACATTCATCTTTGCAACGGTAGTGAAGTAATCCATCGCCAGATCGTAGAAATCCTCCTTCGTGACTAGATTCTTGAACCCTTCGTAATAAGCCTGGAAAAACAGGACCGGCTTTTCAGGAGCACCGGGCTCTCTGACACCATTTCTCGAAGCAATAGTCGTATAGGCCTTCTTCAGCTCCTCCAGGGAGTGAAGAGCTGGCGTATGCTCGCCGAGGCGAACCTCAGTGCCGTTGCGCTGCGCAATCTTCCATCGCACATCTGCAGTCAGCGTGCCCTCGATATGAACGTGAAGCTCGACCTTGGGCACCTCGATCACGAATCTGTCGTTCTCGTCGAGCAATTTCTGCTTTAGCGCATAGCGCTCAGGGCTGGTGTGCTTCTTATCGAAATCGAGTTCCACCACCATGTTTGCGGTTTTCTATGCTGTTGACTGAGTTTGGTCTAGAGATATCTTGTGCCCTCTCTTTAAGATGTCAAGCTTGCAAGAGAAACTGATGAACCGCGGGCAGGAGCTTTGTTTGATACCAAAACATTCCGCGCGAAGTGCAAGAATTCCACCGCCCCCCCGGACCGTGAGAATCACAGCGAGAGTCAACGGGAGAACAGCGACATTTGCAGCATCATTTTTGTCTTGCCATTCAATTGATCTATGACTATTATTAATCACAGGGGGTATCGTTTTTGTAGATGGATCTGATGGAACCGCACCAATGCGAACTTCTTCGTTTCTGTACATGGTAGAGATATATTCAGAAGATAAGAGAAAACCTCGTTTCTCTAGTTGCAAGATGATTTGTTAGGGGTATCATGCTCTCACGACAAACGATGACGATGACTGAACACATCATAAACAGGGGTATTGTGCTGGCGCAAGAAACAAAATTTGGGTTCCCTCTTTGTCCTTCTTTCCAGTCGTTGGAGATGGATTTGGGACTTCGGGAGATGCATCGCGTGCATGCATAACGGGGTGGAAGCACGCGCTGAATCGATCGAGTTTGAAAGCAAATTTGAGGAACTGAATCAAGTGGGCGGAAGGCCGTGAGCCTTGAAAACTCGGTCTTGAGGACGTGCTCATGGGGAAAAGACGTCTGGGGTCTTCTCTTCTTCCTCGTGGAAACGTCTGAAGGACTTGCGGCCTCGGGCGAACCAGTCGATACCAATGATCATCACGACGATGAAGTAAACGACGCAGACATAGTTCATGTCTGTGAGAATGGTTAGCGACGAGTTTGGAAATGCACATGACTCTGTGGGAAAGGGAAGCAACGTACTTGAAGTCGTAGCAGGCATCTGTTCTGGAAAAGAGAACATGACAAGTGTGAACAACGTCCACAGAAGAAGGATCCAATTGGCAAAATATCCAATCTTGCCCATCCAGAATGGGCCCTTTTGGATAGTATTGCGGCCCCTGAGGAGCAGGCAGATGACCGGGATGGAGTATGAGATATACAATAGAGAAATGCAGGCAGTAACCATGCTGTTGAACGCCGTGTCGGACCCAAGGTAGAGGAGACCAACAAGGCCGACGATGACGCAGCTCACCAGATGGGCAGCAAAGGGCACACCCAGCTTGTTGATCTTTCCAAGCCAT